TAGTAGTTTTCCTACGAGTTTGAAAAGTCTTTGTTTGCGAACCGAGAGGTTTGCGGCCCGAGCCGAAGGCGAGGTCCGTAACGAGGTTCGTAAAGGAGACTTTTCGAACGAGTATCGGAAAACTGCTTTTTTGCCCGAGGAAGTACCAGCCTCCCAAAACCACCCGAGGGCGGAAAAATATTTTTCTACATCATAACCCGTTGTACTATGTGTCCCATTCGAGTCAGTATGAATTACTTCCAAAATTTTGTTTGCCCTTTTTCTCTTATCCTCATAAGGAAATTTCTGCATAATTTTTTTAATACAAATTTAACACTTAAAATAGTTAGACTTAATATTTTCTGGTAATCCATCTAGTAATTTTTCATTACATGTTGTTCGTAAAATATCTAAACTTCTTCTTTTTCTGTCATTGATTTTTCAAATATATTTGTCATATTTTATTCTGTGATCATAACTGATCTATTTCAAAATGTAATATCACTTTTTTGAACTGAAACTGCAATTTGATATCCAAGTTTACTACAAATTTTACAAGTGTCATCTTTTGAGATAACTTTATTACTATTTGTATTTTTACCATAGCTTATCTAATTCCTATCTATTTCTTTAACAGATAAGACATTATTAAATTTAACTTCTAGATATCAATCCTTAAAAGTTACTAAAATATTTCCTACTTTTATTGCTTTCAAAAATCGACCATCCCTACTTTTACACTAACTGGTAGTTTAAAATTAGTACATTTATTATAATACTCATCATTATTTCCTATATGATCAGTGCAACTGCTGTCTAATAGCCATTTAACACTATTATCGCAAATATTATTGACTTTAACATTCAAATTTTTTTTCAAATCTTTCATGACTTCAGTACAAAAACTATTTTGCTGACCATAACCTGTACTTTCGTTGCGCTGATCTTGCCGCAATTAAAACGTGCTTTGTCCTTTTTTCTCTCTGACTTGAACATACTTGTATCTTTGTTACTTCTCTCTTCTCTCTCTTGAATTTCAATCATATTGATTTTATTTTTAAAAAATTGTACTGTCTAATCTGATTCTTTCAAAACGTCAATAAAATCACCAATATAACTTAATGAACTTGGCAAAGTTTTAAACAAATAACATAATTTTTTTTTTCACTGACCGTTCCACCTGCACTTCTCAGCTCGTTTATTAGTTTTTCAAACTCCGTGAATACAAACTTGACTCTTCCAAATTTTTTTATCCTAATCTTTCCAATTTGTTCCTTACACATACTTGCAGTGCGGTAAATTCTTTTATATACATCTCATCGAACTTATTTATTATGCTGGTGGCCGTTTCTTTGTCCTTGATAAATTTAAATTAATCATTTAAGATCGCACAAAATATGTAATTCGTTTTTTTCAAGTATGTTTCTAACCATTTTTCTTTTTTGTCCGATTTCTGTTTTTCTCTCTTAATCACCTCATTACAGTTTTTAAACTTAAAAAATATCAAAATTCTTTTCTTCTAAATACTGTAATCCTTACCATCAAAAACTGGTACTCTTATATCGTCCATCATCTTGGCTTCTTTTTCTTTTTCAGACGCTTTTATTTTTTCAAAAACAAATTTTTCTGCTATCAATATATTAGTAATTACTCGTTTCTACAATTTTCTCAAAACTTTTTCGTTGGATACACATCTTTTCTAAACTTTTTAATTTTCTTCATGCACGAGTTTTCTTTAAGGTTCACAGCCTCCGAAGAAAACCATGAAAATTAAAATCAAACGACACTGCAACCACGGACTTGGCTACTATGTTAATAAAACAAATATATGCCGAGGTAGCGAACACAATGAAAAGAACGGATTAACTAATAAATATGTTTATTTAGCATAAAAAATAAAAATTAATAACGATTTTTACAGTTACTTTCACGACATTGAGAGAGACGCGACTCGAGCAAGCATACCTTGCAACGGCTATAATCAGTCTAATAACTCGTAACTATGTATACTCTTGTTTTTTTGGTATCCCATACGAGTCGTATCTATGCCGTACAGTAGATGTTGCTAACTACAACCAATATAAATTTACTTGTATTCTAACAGGATAAGTTCATGTATAAATCGCAAACAAGGTCCTTAGAGATTTAAGGGCATTGTATAAAATACACTAGTTTACTGGGGCGGTGGGTGGCATTCTTAGGTGGAGTTTTTAGACTTCTATTTTGAGGTAATGGCTGAACTTTGAGCCGATAGAGATATATAGACCCAAATCCACTTTCAGAGACCCCAACAACACATAGTAATATAGAAAAAAAAAGGTAAAAAAGAGTTTAGATGTTAAAATATTTTTGATTATCACAATGGCAAGTCAAATAATGACTACTGATTTCTAATAACGTGTTGAGAACTTAATGAATTTCTCTTTACTAAAAACTGCTTCCTTACACAGATTTGAGTAATTTAAAGGTTATTTTATATTCTTGGTGAAACAGAATATCCTCCTATATTATATTGTTAATTGGACAGGGCGTTCCACATTACCCCTTAGTGCTCCTTCACTGCCCTCCACTGCCCTTCAAAAGACCCCCTGTCATCCTCCTACTGCCCCCTCTCCCACAAATTAAGGTGAAATTCGTTTTATTTCTACATTCCTTTAACTCGATAAATATTATGTCGAGTTCCCACTATCCCCACCACTCCTCCATTGTCCCCCTCATCGTCCCTCCACTGTCCCCCCACACAATTTTTTTACCCCCGATGCCTCTTGCCACACGATATTTTAACTTTTTAATACACTTCTATTATTGGCGTAGAATAGATTAAAAGGATGGATAATAAACAAGCCTGCACTAAACATATACACAAAAAAACGTTTTAGTTTATTCTATTTATTTTCATATTCTTGTCACATTTTTATTGTCATCGTCTTAGTTTTGATTTTTAAATCCATCGACATTTTTAATTTTGTTGTTGTTTATTTTAAATAAAATTGTCTTAATATTTTTTTAAACCATGTCA